GCATAAAGGCTAGAACCCCTAAATCCTCAGGTAAATAGTAAAACAAGTATGCAGGGCTTATGGAAATAATCTGGTAAAAACAGTGCAATAACTGAAAAAAATAGCATAGTGACAAGTGAATGGATGAAGTAGTATAACTAAAATATGCACAGGTAAATCAATAAAAAAATGCACTAATGTTGGATAAACAAACAACTGAATGATAAAGTTCATAAGGTGCAAAAGAGTGCTTATCAATCCATATTCCAGCATACTAGTGACTGGATCAGGGATCAAAAAAGTGATCGTTCTAACACTTCAGGTATAACAGTGATTTCAGTGACTGGGAAGCAGGAATTTGGAAATAACTCCAGTGCTCGTGACTTCAGATGGTGATAAGTTAATATGTGCTTGCTCTTACCAGAAGCACAAGTTAAATGCGCATGTATCAATAACCTCCACAGGGGACCCTGGTGGTCATCATGGATCTGGTCAGGGGCAGAAGGGGGCTCCACTGGCATACACACACAGCAGGGGAAGCACTGGAGGCATCGCTGACAGATCAATCCAGCAGAGAGAGGGGGGGAGGGACTGCTCCTTAATATCCAATTCAGTCAAGGTGCACCGATACTGTCAGATGTTACTCCTCCACCTTGAATGGCTCAGTAATAAAGCCACCAGACATGGATATTATAGTGTAGTAACGTTTAATAAATCTCAGCAAAGTAATCCAAAAAATATTTGTCAAAATAAACGGAGCTTACAGTAACAGGGGTAAAGATGGCCGCTGAACCAACATGCTGCCTCTTCGGCGTGACGTCAACACAGCAAGGCTCCTCTGACACGTTTTGTGCGACAGCACGTTATTGAAGGGATGGCCTCGCCACCGACGTCGTTTGCTATTTATAGCTCCTACGTGCATGCGAGACGCGGGCACCATTTTGTGGAAGTCCGGCAAGGCAGCTGGACCAAATAGGCACCACTATGCTATTTTTTCAGTTATTGCACTGTTTTTACCAAATTATTTCCATAAGCACTACATACTTGTTTTATGACCTCCTGTATAGTGAGGTGTTATTTTGGAGAGGACATCCTCTCTGATTGGTTGGCCAGTGTCCATTCACCTATAGGTGGCCTATAGCCCACATAGTTATGAATAGTCTGCTCTGTGTCCTTGATGTACACCAAGAAATGGATTTTACAGGTACGTATGTAGAAAAAAAATTAATTTTTAGATTATAAGCTTAGAGTTAAAGCAGCATTAAACCAAAAATGTTATGTATTTCAGCTTACCAATCCTTAGATGTGGTGGCTGGATCCGTATTCTTTTTTTAAGCTGTTCCCCGCTGTTTTCACCTGGTGACCTGGCCAGTAACACCCTTCCTTTTAATAGGGTGCCAGCACTCTGGATGAAGGAGCAACAGAGACACCTTTGGACAGCAAATAAATAAATAAATGGAAGTAGCACTACCTAATTAATAATATGAAGGTGAAAAAGATATAAAAGTGAAAGGTGTGAATAAAAGTAAAGGTGGTGACCGATCTACAGTGCACCTCCTTCTCTACCTAGTACAGGTGTAATAAAATTGCTGTGAGATGCGTATGCACCTTCTGTGATAAACTCTTAATGCTATGTGAATTGGAATACATTGCAACAAGTACTACACTACCCCTCCCTCCTCAAAACTCAATAAAATGAAATGAGCATATAAAGTGACCATAAATGTGATAGATCCTTCAATTAGTACAGAAACAGTCTACTGGACTAAGAAGTCCCTTCCATTCAGAAGAGCCCTGGTTCTTGAACATGAATAAAATAGTGCTGCTGTGAACTTGCTCTTATTCAATAAAGTGTCTTCACACATGTTCCCCCTGTAGCCTCCGCTACTCCTTGACCACTTGGTAAGCAGGTCAAATGCGCACTGATTCCAATGCCTGGCTAACAGTGCCTTATCTGTGGTGTCCAATGTGGCTTATACCGACTCTCCTCCTCCAGAGGCTTGCAGCAAGCGATCACCCACATTCAGTCCTTGGCATTGAAGATCTGACAAATGGATGAGTGAAAAGTTTAAGTCCTCATGCACACGGGACATTTTGATAACGCTGGTAACGTTAGCTGTGTAAAGTCACATTTTTCAGCTTTTTTTTTTTTTTTTTTTTTTTTTTTTTTTTTTTTTTTTAGCATTTGTGCATTAGCGTTTAGCTGCATTTGTTTGTGTTTGCAGTTTTTAGCTTTTCTTGGTCAAAACAAAAGTCCAAAAATGTGGGTTTTCTGTGTTAAGGTGTTTTTACAGCTAAAGAACTCCTCTAGAAACCCACTAGTCCTGGGGTTTTTTTTGCAGCCAAAAACATTGATTACAGTCTGTGTGCATGGACACATAGGGTTAACATACTGGGGTAGTTACTAGCTATAGAAAAAAAATGTCAAAAGCCAAAAAAACAGCCGCTGTAAAAACATCAAGTGTGCATGAGGGATTCAAGATGTGAGAGATCTGCCCGATCCAGCCTAATCTGTGTGATGTGATGTGCAGCCCCCCTCTACCCCCGGGTGATCATATATTGCCGTAGCTGTCTATGTAGCTGCTGCATGGCCTGCTCTCTGCTCTGGAACCAGCTTTCATCCAGAGCAGAGCAGGCGATTTATTTTTTGGGGTTTTCATTGTGTTTTTTTATTTGTTTAGCAGATAAACTTTTATTTAATAGCAAAATATAAAAAAGTTTTAGGGCTTTCAGGTGATGCACAGAGATCAGAAAGTGAAGAGCTCAGTGTTACTAAACCCACATCAGTAAAATCAGTCTATTTGCAGTAAAACATGCTTGTTATACTCACTGTGGAACCTAAGATAATTTGCCGCTTTTTGTAAAAAGGATGTTTGATCTTGTCATCTCTGATCTTCCTCTACTGTCCCCAATCCATCTGCTGATAGTACAGAGCTCTAGGAGTCACTCTGTACATGCTCAGTTTAGTGTGTATTGTTAGAGGTTTTTTTTTTTTTTTTTTTTTTTTATGTTTTTTCCATTTGGGGAGGGTGTATGTGATCAGCACAGGGCCAGTCAGCACTGTCTAGACCAGGGGTGGGCAAACTTTTTGACTTGAGGGCCGCAATGGGTTCATATATTGGACCCGGGGGCCGGACCAAGAGTAGATGAATGATGTGTATGTGTCATCCATAGTAAGTATAGTAATATTCCCCCATAGTAATTCATCCCCCACATAGTAATTCATCCCACATAGTAGTTCATCCCCCACATAGTAATTCATCCCCAAATATAGTAATTCATTCTCCATATTAATTCATCCCTCATATTAAGTCCCCAAGTCCCCCGTGTCAATTCACTTACCTTTGCTTCGCGCGTTCCTCTCGCCGTGTTCCCACGCCATTCCGGTGTAGCATGAAAATCCGTCTCCTATGAGGATCTGTCCCCCTCGACGTATCTGTGCATGTGCCAGTTTCAGGCATTAGCAGCCAATCTCCGGCACATGCGCAGATACGTCGAGGGGGACAGATCCTCATAGGAGACAGATTTTCATGCTACACCGGTCTTCAGGGCAGACTGTGAGAGGAGCCTAGCTCCGCGGGCCGGATTAAAAGGTCCGCCGGGCCGTAGTTTGCCCATTGCTGGTCTAGACAGAAGGTCATGGGTTATGCAGCCTCATAGGACAGTTAGAGCAGGATGAAAACTCCTCCTACAAGATTAAAGGATAAGTTTGCCTTTTAACAAAAATACATGCACTTTTTTTGCAAGTTAAAACATGTGCATTTATTGTTTGTGGAAGCTCTAAAGCATTGCACCAGCTTTGAGCAGATCGCTGGTGCCATGCAGGTCTTCCCCTGACCTGTCAGTATGTCTGCTTACTCGTACATCCCGTACAGGCAAGCAGATACTTACTGACAGGAAGGCTGAACGAACTACCACGGCACTGTTATTAAGAACCACAAGCCTACAGCCACAATGGCTGCGGGGACTTGTAGTTTTCTCATTCACAGAATACTGTGAATGAATGATGTGGGTGGGTGGCCATGTTCTTAGAAAAATTGTGACAGCTAGCGGGGCGGAGAAGATCCCCCTCTAGCTGTCACAACAGGAATCGGAGGGGGGTGCAGGGGCCGGTCCGATCATAATATGTTACACCCTGAATATGGGTGTCACATGTTAATAAGTGTGAATTTATCCTTTAACCAGTGCTCATCTGGACACTGATAGAAGTCACAAAACTGCTATATACTGCTAATGAGAAAAGGTATTTAGCAGTTTATATTTACTAAAAAAATTGCATTTTCATGGTTTGTTTACTGTGGAAGACCGGATAAAGTGAATGCAGGGTCCTGGGTTTAGTAACACTTTAATGTACAAGTCGCATACAGTAGCTAGATGTAGATGAAGGTTCATGTGTAGGATAAGGGAGTTGAAAGGTTGATACACAAGTCACAATGAGAGACAGGATGGTGATCATGAATGTAGAGGGGTGTATGGAATGTCAGTGAAAAAGAATGAGTGGAGCTGCAGTTATTGTTTCACTATAGACAATTACTACGATGGCTCTCCGTTCTCTGTTGAAGGGGAGGGATCAACACTGTAAATAATAGCATGTGATTGCTGAGATGACCAATCATAGCAATCACATGGTACCCAGCCCTTCCGATCAGCTCAGTATAATGTGTTACTCAGAAATTAGTGGGAGGACCAGCTGCCCAGTGGTTATTTTTCCAGTGCCATTTATAACAAAGTAGTTACTGATATTTAGCTAGATTTGTTTTATAATGAAGAAAAATCAAAGGTTACAAAAGGTATTTCCAGCTATACCATCACCTGGACAAATATTAAACAAACCTTCACAGGCACAATTGGAGGTATTCTGACTGATTAGGACAAATCAGATGTTTATCTCATTTTATTTCTAAGAATATGATGGCATTGTTACTTAATGCTTTAATAACACATTTGGTTGTATTTCATTGATCCCCTCAATATTTGTACTTTTTTTCTGTTTGCTAAACATTCTCTTGTTTGTATTTTAGCCACTATATGATGCTGCTTACCTGACCATGTACAACATCTGTTTCACATCTCTTCCAATCCTGGCCTACAGTCTGCTGGAACAGCACATCAGTATTGAAACGCTGATGGCAAACCCTAAATTATATATGTATGTATGAAGATTTTTCTAATTATTATTATTAAAGTTGGTCTCCCTCTCCTATTGTGCTAAACTATATGAATTTGTCTTTGGAACATTTTATATACTGTGTAACCCATACTCCCCTTGATTATCAGTTTGTACAGTGCCATAGAAGAGGACATCATTCTATGAATAAATAAGACTTCTTATGACATATGAATGCTGCATATTTCAGTGCTACATTGGTTGCATATGTTAAACTTTATCAGGACATTTATGGCATCATTCTGTAGAGAAGAAGCAGACCGTGAAAGGTCTGCCAAAGGCACTGATAACCATAAAAAGCAAAAAATATCTCTTTACGCTAGTCTTGGTTTCCTCTAGTATTAGGCTACGATGTGTATCATTTGCTCTTCATCCTCACTAGATATTGGCATGCTTTCTGGGCAATCATAGTATGGTTTGTAAGGAGCTCTTGTTTTTACGGTTAAGCTGGACATAGAAATCTATTCCTCCATCCACACAAGTAAGGTGGAAGGAGGAATTGCCCTGCCAGAACATTGTATTCTGACAGCTGCTGATTGACAAATGTTTTCCAACATGTCTGTTCACAAAAGTTGATCATTAGATTGACTTCTGTCAAACAGGGAGAACGAAGCAGAGATCGAAATTTGGCCAGTCCATGTTGAACCAGCTGAATTTCGATCTGTCTATGGCCAGCTTTAGATGTTGGAGTTACCTTTACTTTGCATTGCACATTTTATATTTGCCTTTTTGTTCAGAAATGTTCAGCAGCATCTCAAATCCTAGAAGACCTCTAGTATATATATATATATACTGTAAGTGGTGGAACTGATACTTGGTCATACTACATATCTGCTTTTGGCATTTAAATGTCAAGAAAACATTAAATGGAAAAATCTAATATTTTATTTGATTTTTACGTTCTTTCATAAATATTGCTGCCATTTAGTAAGCATTGGCTCAAAATTCTGTTTAAAGGATTTTTTTTTTTTTTTTTTACTATAATTGCAGGAGAGTATCTGACAATGCGATGTTAAAGTGGTTACCATTCGTATACTGGACTTTGCTGGGGGCCTTTGAAGGACTAGTTTTCTTCTTTGGAGTTTACTTGCTATTCCAGAACCCATCACTGGAAGGCAATGGGCAGGTATGCTACATTTTGCCATTTATCAAGAATTCTACCGGTTTTTTTTAATGTTGTTTATAGGTTACATTCAGATTTGATGGACACTGATCATACTAACTTGTATAAACTTGTAGACATATATCCGAACTGACCAATATGAGTCCATTTCTTTAAATGCTAAGTTGGATGTTCAGATTTTGTTTCCTTTTGTGAATGGTTTAAATCTATGCAAACATAATTTGGAAACTGTTGGATAATATACTGCACTTTGTATTATGAACATGTTAAGATTTTATTTTGAGATCTATGATTATATAAATTTGAGTCCTGAGGTTAAGTGCAAGACTCAAGCCAAGTGTCACATAACCCAAGGTGAATCTTGAACTTCCCAATCAGTGCAGGTAATAATGCAATACATTACTATAACCAACATTTAAACTGACATTCAAGAACAGGGATTTTTGAATGGTCAAAGAACACACATTGCTGCACACCCAAATCCGTCAATATACACCCTATTTCCTGCCCCTGTATTGTAATCTTAAAGCATGACTATAGCCTTGCCATGGGTAGATAACCCTTGCTATATTGTAAAGTGCACATACTAGTAGACTCACCGCTGTCTTTGCATCCTTCAGCACTGACAATTCAGAACTGTACTTCATCCCTTCCTTTGCTATGATTGTCTCTGTCATTTTCTTCTGTGTTGGTCTTCCAACCTTCCAGCATGCATGCTGGAATTACATTATCCCAACTTCTTACTCCATTCTCTGCATGAATGCCGGGAATGGTCTGGATGTGTGCCATATACATCTTATATTTAGGTCCATGCTAGGTTAGTTCTTAAACAAGGCAACCACTATGGGACTGATGTATGAAAAATATATTGCTTTTAGCAGCAATTCAGCTTCTGTCATTTCTACAGACCAGATTTTAAAAAAGTATTGTGATTTGTTGCCATGGACAGCAAAACTTTGTACTGTTCATTTTTCACTCATTGTCCTGATATGTATATAGTGCTATACTATAGTCCTATGTCCATGCACATGCTACCCTTTGTGTAAAGAGTTTTTTTTTTTCCTTTTAGATCACTTTTCAGTGAGAGGTCTCAGTTCATTTTCAGTCTTAAATGGTTTCAAAGCAAAAAGGCAGTATAGTGTCATTTATTGCTGTAATCCATGTAACTCCAGCAACACACATTTCTTCCCTTCATTAACCAGCCAGTGTTAGGCTTTTGGCTTGCCCCTATTTTTCTTGAAAGTGCTTTTAAACAATGCTTTGGAGCCAATATGTGCTTGTCCTATGATAATACTGAACACAATGTCAAATTATTTTATTACTCAGATTTTCTTGGGAGTTCGAGTTTTCTTATTTTATTTGGTGTTTTTTTTTTTTTTTGCCATAAAGAGAGAACTCTTTACATTTCATTTCCTATTTTAATGTCAGCATCCAGATCATGACAGCATTGGTAAGCAACTTTTTTGACCTTGTATTGTTAAACTAGAGTGTAATTAGTTCATACTCTATAGTCATTAGTATTTTACATATTGGACCCACTGCTGTCACTGTGTTTTTGGGTTATGTATGTATTTTATTTAACCTAGAAATGTTTTATACTGAAAGTTTAATTCATTGTTCTCAACTTGCACATTTGACTGTTTTTCTAAATACACAAAACATGTAAGTTCCCCGTGTTAAATACAAATGACTATTCCACAGCTCTGTATGTACTCATTTCTCTTAAAATTGCCTTCAAGTTTTTCTTCTTGATGGTTTCTCTACCTTTGCATGAATGTAGTAGCCTCAATCATTTGTAGATAAATATCTGGATATAAACTTATTCTATTAAACGGCCAAGAGTTTGCAACATGTTATCCAAATATTTATTAAAAATTTTAGCTGTTCTGCTGATTTTTTTAAAACTTGATTAACTTTGATCACTTAAAATAAAAAGGTCTGATCAAAGTGAAACATCTTTAATGGTTTCTTATATCAGTACTTTTGTTGCTTAAGATGTTTCTCAATCTTGCTGTTGTAAAGTTGATCTTTACTTTTATTTTTGTATTTATATTTTTGTGCAGTACCTTTTTTTAAAAGTAAAATTTTACTGTTCAACTTAATAAAGTGTATTCATAGCTGGGTTTTTTTTTGTAAATATATAGAACACAGCTTGCTCTTTCAGCAAATTTTGTGCTTGGATTTTGGCAGATTTTTTTGGTTTCATTAGCATTTGCAGCTGGAATATAGAACATATTTATTTTAGGTTTTTATACATTTGATAATTTTTTTAAAGTTAATAAGCAGGGCAATGTCATATTTTGTTATCCCCTAAATACAGTTTCCTAACACATCCCTAATACATAGGACATTTTACCAGAAAATGTTGTTTTTTTTTGTTTGTTTTTTTGGAGTGTACATGTCCAGGTATAGGTTTGTAAGGAAAATAATGCTCTAAATCACTCACAATTAGGTTGTCTTTTTCAGGTGTTTGGAAACTGGTCTTTTGGAACAATAATTTTCACTACATTAGTGTTTACAGTTACATTAAAGGTAAGTGTATGGACTATATGTAATAACATATGTTAAACATAATTTAATCAGAATATTGTTGTTAAAAGGAATAGTCTGGTGCCAGTATCTTTAACCGCTTCAAAACTGGGCACTTTCAACCTCTTCCTGCCCAGGTCAATCTTCATCTTTCAGCACTGTCACACTTTGACAATTGTGTGGTCAAACAAAACTGTCCCCAAATTACTTTTTTTTTTTTTTTTTTTTTTAGACCGATAGAGCTTTCTTTTGGTGGTACTTAATCACCACTGGGTTTTTAATTTTTTGCCAAAAAAAAAAGACCCACAATTAAGAAAAAAAGTTTCTCTTCAATTGTGATAAAGTTTTGCAAATGAAGAATTTTTCTCCTTCACTGATGTGTGCTGATGAGGTTGCAATGATGAGTACTGATAGGAAACATTAATGGGGCTGCACTGATAATCAGGGCCTGCTTATCAGTGTAAATGTAATTGGACAAAGCTGATCACAAAGGACACAGCGGTCCCAGAGTACACCCAAGGGTTGCGCGGCAAGGGCGTTCTGTGAGGTTGTCCATGGACGAACTAGAGAGCTGCACTGTAGCCCTCTTCCAGCTGTGGAGTGGTTAAACTGAAGAGGTATGCACAGATGTACGTTTAATACTGTAGAAGAAATAGCCATCACATAGGGTCCCCCAGAGCACAAAAGGATTTGTTTTTCATTTCGTCTGGTAATAAGTGCACAGGAAAGGGTAGGAGTCAAGGATCTGACTTGTTCAGCTGCGTTTGTGTAAATTCAGATTGCACAACAGATGTTTTTCAATAGAGTCTGTGAAAAATGTGAAACTGAATGAAGTGCTCTGTCTGTTGACTGAAACTATAGAATTCATATTTACCATACTGAAAAATATAGTATTATGATTTTTTTTTTTTTAACAGCTTGCATTAGATACTCGATACTGGACCTGGATGAACCATTTGGTCATATGGGGTTCACTGGCCTTTTATGTAATTTTCTCCATATTTTGGGGAGGCATCATTTGGTAAGTGTGTGGAATTCTATTGAATGTATTGTTTTAAGCACAAAGACACAAGTCTTTGCTTAGAGTTTTATATTTTCATTTGTATTTTTTATTCTTCCTCCTTTTAGGCCATTCCTCAAGCAGCAACGAATGTACTTTGTATTTTCCCACATTCTGACATCTGTGTCAGTTTGGCTTGCTATAATTCTTCTGATTTTTGTCAGCTTGTACCCAGAAATCTTGTTTAGAACGTTCAAAAGTCTTAGGACTGCAGGCCAGAAGGTAAGGCTACTTCCATTTGTTTTTTTTATTCAAGAAATTAGGAAACCAGATATTTTTTTGATTTTTATTGTATTATAGTATGTTTGATTTTGGCTTGTATCTTTCCAGTTTGGATAGCAGTTGGGATGACATAATATGAATAATTATGACTTTTTTATTTTTGTTAATGTAATGAAAGTATGAATAATGTTGGTGGAGTGCTTGAATTAACATATAGTTTTCATATAACACTCAACTGCTTTTGACATGTATTAGCTAGCTGTGTTACATTACTGTAAGAACAAGTCACAACTGGGCTTGTGAACAACCAGAATATTCAATAAATGAAAACTTACTTTGAAATATTTTACTGAAATAATATTGTAAAGTGGTTCTTTCTGTCCTCCCCCAGCTCCCTAAATACTTATCTGAGTCCGCAATCAATCCAGAGCTGTGCATGGCTGGATCTCTTCATACAGGAACTTGGGCTGCAGCAGAGGCCGTTGCCTCCTGCTCCTGTCAATCAAATGCTGTGAGGAGGAAGTGGGCCTGGGCAAGCCATGCTGTATGTGTCTGTAGAACATGGCTCCATAGACATACACAGCTCAATAGCTTCAAAGGCTCAGTTGAATCAAAACCAAATTAACATAATCAAGAGACAACATAAGTACTGTACTGGCACATCTAAAATTTTGAAGACCCAATCCGTACCATACTGACACACAATCAGTACCGTACGGACACATCTAAGAACATGTCCACAGAGACACAGTTGGCATCATATTGATACACCAGAAAAATGTCCACAGAGACACAATCGGTGTCTTGTTTACACATCCAGAAACATATCCCATAAAACATGTTGTTGCATTTTTTTTTCTTAAGTCTAGCTCTTATATTTACTTTTGCATACCACATATAGAAGTAAATAAAGATAAATGGGCACAATTCAAAAACTGGATTAAACGCTTTATTTATTGTAGCCATTTCTATGAATGTGGGCATTTTGGAATGTTCATTACAGCTTCTGAATTTTGGGCAATGTACAAAATTCTGTAAAAGCTCCCACCACCAAATGCCATAGCAAATAAAACACAAGAATGTGCACAACTGTTAAATAAAATTTTCATCAAAATATTATTTAACCACTTCAATACTAGGCACTTTTACCCCCTTCCTGCCCAGGCCAATTTTCAGCTTTCAGTGTTTTGCACTTTGAAAGACAATGGCATGGCCATGCAACACTGTACTCATAAAAAAAATTATAATTTTTTTTTACACAAATAGAGCTTTCTTTTGGTGGTATTTATTCACCACTGAGTTTGTTTTTTGCTAAATAAACAAAAAAAACAAACCTTTGAAAAAAAAAATTTTTTTGTTATAAAGTTTTGCAAATAAATAATACTTCATAAATTTAGGTCAAAATGTATTTTGCTACATTTCTTTGGTGAAAATACTCCAAATTAGTGTATATTTTTTAGTCCGTAGGAAAGTTATAGAGTCCGCAAACCATGGTATATATATATCTGACAATCGATCAATGTACTAACGGCCAATCTCATTTCTTGAGGCCTGAAACTGCCAGCATAGTACAAATACCCCACAAATTACCCATTTTTGGGAAATAGACAGTCCAAGGTATTTAGCAAGAGGCATGGTGAGGTTGTAATTTTGTTACAATTTTTTGGAAAACGTAGAAATTTTTTTTAATTTTTCCATATTGTCACCAGTCCAGTACAGTGCGTTTATATAACTGTTTTGGTGATCAGGGACACTGGTGACCGTATGTTAAAAAAAAAAGTAATTTAAATTTTTACTTTTTTTTTTTCTATTTTTTTATTACATTATTTTTTTTTCAACACACTGTGACCAAAGCAATACAATGTTACCATAGTAACATTGAACTACTCTGGGCAAGTGATCAAGATTTTTTTTTTTTTTTTTACACATTATGATTGCTAATACCAATGTATTTCATTGATATTTCCAATCATTGTTACTGAATGAAACTTATTCATTCAGTCTTTTGTTGTGATTATTCAAAGCTCATCACATGATATAGATGGGCTGTGATTGGCCCTGTCTGTACCATGTGACTGCTTTGATCAATCACAGCCAACATAACAATTGTATACAATGAATGGCATGACAGGAAGCCATCCATTGTCACATGACACTGACAACGGGCCGGTGTAGTGATATGTCATCAGCTGTGTTCCATGGACTCAGCTGATGACAGATCACGCTGCTGCGCAGCCCCGTCAATGGCTGCTTTTGACAGGACGTCATATGATGCCCAGTCACAATGGCGAGTGTCCCACCCGGCCGTCAATCTGCTATAGGCCGGGCGGGAAGATGGTAAAAAATTAAGTATACAGACCTTAGTCAGACCATCTCATCCAGCAGGCTGGCAGTTTACAAGCAGCCAGTGAGCATCTATGTGTGAGTCACTGGGTAGTTGTAGCTTGCGTATAACTACACCTCGCTGAGCAGAACCATGCCCCAGTCCTGCCCCCAACCCATCGACACTGCATGCTTTGTTTACAATGCACATTTTTGACAGTGGGGTTGGGCAGGCCTTTTTGAGAAATTTTGGAAAGGCCCGGAAATACCAAACTATGTAAGGACAGTATTAGCACAGTGCCAACCTGCTAACAAATTTCAATTACTTGTGGTTGGAAAGATCTCTGTCATTGTTACCCAGCCCTGCTGGCTTCTTTAAAATCATTTTATCTGGATTATATGCAGCTATCATACGGTGATTGGACACTGGCAAAAAAAAAAAAAAAAAAAAAAACTACAAGGGCGTCCTCCTCTATAACCTCTCCTACTCACTCAGCTTTTTTTTTTTTTTTTTTACTAGGGTCCTAGGGTGATGGACCTCTTCTCTACAGTTTGAAGCCTAACTTCTCAAATTAGAGAATCAGTTGTCGCCTCAGCAAACCCTTGGCAGAACATACCCAAACCACATTTGTTGGAGGACACAGGGCTGGCCTGTAATGTTTCTGCAGACACTCCCCTTGGCATTTAGTGCTGCATGTGAGGTTAGCCATGGGGTGCTTTACAGGTCCAGGGCCTTGGTCTGCTTAGTGCAGAGCCCAGTCTTGAAAGACCCCTGTGGGGATATGCCCATCCTGAAAAAGCCAGGATGGGGTTAATCCCACATGAATCCTGTTACTAATGTGGTGAGTACAAGGCCCAAGCCCTTTAAATGTTTAGCCCAGCTTTCCACTTTTAGTGTATTGGAACCACTGTCCACCCTTTCCGGTAGGGCAGTGAAATCAGGATGGCAGTAGTAATCAGGATGGCCGAGGTTTAACAATTTAAACTTTCTCACTGAGGTTACTGCCCCTGCAAGCCCTGCCTTTTCTTGTTTGCATTCAATATTCTGAACCAACAGCATCCCCTGGTTCCTTCTCTGTGGGCATGTTACTAGCAGTTAACTCTCGCAACTGCTGGGGTGTCAGCAGCCTAAAAGGTCTCGCACCATGGAACCCCCTCCGGCTGCACTGCTTTGGAGGTTGTTTGTACCCATCTGGGGATGATATTCACAGGCATGGTCGATTAGAAGTGCAAGGCTAAGGGGTTGGATCTGCTCCCTAGCTCATACTTGGTCTTTAGCTACCTTGGGGGTTGTTGTACACCTTTTCAGGGTCTTAGTACCCTTTTGGTCTGATTTGTTCCCCAAATCTGACTTCCTGCTTTGTTTTTCATTCAGCTAGCCGATCAGGCAAGGCAAGGCAGACTCCTTTCTTTCCTGTGGGAGAGATACATTTTCTAAAGCAATTTCTGAGGTCATGAGTGAAATTCCTAGCTTTCTAATGTTATAGACAGGGGTACACAGCCTTACCCCTTCAAATTTCCCTCCTGAATTGCTGTTTAACTTTGCCCTTGAGCCAGAAACCATACAAGAGGAAGAGCTGGATAAGGATAATAAACCTACTCCAGACACCACTTCTAAATTAAATCTGTCTATTGCTATGCTTGAAGCATTTGTGAAGGTTCATATTTTTTTTAAATAACAAATGTCATACTTACCTGCTCTGGGCAGTGGTTTTGCACAGAGCAGCCCAGATCCTCCTCTTCTCAGGTCCCCCTCTGGCACACCTGTCCCCTCCCTTTTGCCGAGTGCCCCCATAACAAACTTCAGCTATTAGAACCACACTAATGAAGCTTTATTCTCTTTTAGCCTTAGAGCAGTTAGAGTCCACTTGCCCAAAGATATCCAGAATGAAGTCCCCAAAATTCCCAAAACCAGCTAAGACCTTCCCAGTCCATGCACTGTTTGCCACAGGCTGTGTCTCTTACAGTTCAGGTTAGGCTCAGTCTCTTGTGGCAGATGTTGTCAGCAACTGGGAATGGGTGTTCCATCCAAATATATTTTTAGCCCTTTGCCAAAAGGTGGAGGGTGCAAGATGTGGAACTGCTGATGTCCAGATTCAGCAACAACCTGAACAGGTTTGTTGTCAGGTCCAGGGTTCAGGCCTTCACAGTGGACACTTTTGATGACTTTGTAGGATCAGTTTCAACCGGCTCCTTCAGATTCTCCCTTGCCTACTTTGCAGGCTCAAGAAGCAGGGCATCACAGTAATCCACATTGCAATAAATTGGACCAGGAGAATGTGGAATTTAGACATATTTAAACTCCTGGCATATGATCCATGGGTTCCTCAAACAGTTCACCCCTCTTGTGCCAAGGGCCAGTGTTCCATCCTGTTAATTGGTCACTGCTTTAACACTATGGCTGTTTAAGACATGGTTTCAGGGGCTTTTCAGACTCCTTAACCTTTTACCCTCTTGAAGGCTAGGAAGTAGATTTCTTGTAAAATCTGCTATTCATCATGAAAAGGAAATAGTCTGTTTCAGAGACCTTTAGCTACTCATTTTCTAGTTAAGCCCTATGTTTGCTCCCTAGCTTCCCTATGGGATCTCAGAATGGTTCTTTTGGCTCTTCAGAAGTCACTTTTTTTTTTTTTTTTAAAACTATTAGGAATATTCTTTGGCTTGGTCTGACCTGTAAGGTAAGCTCTTTGGTGCCTATCACTGCTGTGGAGGCGAGCTTCTGAGTTAGAGGCCTTATTCTGTATGGAGCCTTCCTACTGTTGCACAAGGAAGTTGTCCTGATGTCCAAGGCCTCCTTCCTCCCAGAGGTCATCGCTGACTTCCACCTTATTCAAAATATTGCCTTTCCTTCCTTCTATCTAGCTCCAAACCATTCTAGGGAAGTTTCTCTACTACTCTGGATATACTGTGCACGTCCAACTACTGCTTTTTTTTTTTTTTTTTTTTTAAATAGATTCTCTATCATAAAAAGTAGATTTCATATCATTAAAGCCTATAGGGTTCCTCCTTCCTCTGTTAAAGAACACTCTACCAGATCTGCTAGTGTTTGTTAGGATTTCATTCATGTTTAAATTGTATCATGTGGATGTTCAAGCCTTCTCTGATGCCAACTTCGAGCGCAAGGTGCTCTACAAGATGTTCTTTGAGTATTTTAAGCCCTTTGTGACCTGTGGCATTTGTTTGCTATGTTACCCACCTCTCAGTTGGACTGTTTTTGTACATCCCAGTCCAATGATTTCAAGAAGCCTGTGTCCTGTACGGTATGATCGGGAAAATAGAATTTTTTATTACAAGTAAAAATTCTGTGCGTGTAAGGGGTTATACAGGGGGATGTCCCTGTAGCCTTCCTAGTTTACCAATGTCCATTCACCTTAAGGTGGCTGCATATAACTCAGACATAATGATTTAGAGAAACCTGGGTCCTGTTCTGTATTCCAGGAAATTGATTTTAATAGCAATTCAAAAAAATCCTGTTTTGCTTTCTGAGTCCCTGACTGAACAGATATGCAGGTTAGGCGTTTTGAGTTCTGATTTTCTCAAACTGTATGCTTCTTCCAGGTCAAGCACAACCAGGTAGCTTGCAATTTGCTGTAGCAGTCTGTGTATCCAAGGCCAACAAATGCAACAGAAAACCAGACCTGTATCAGCCATATTGACAGCAGTCTTAGCTATTCACAAGTTTGTACTCTGCTGTATAAAGAGGGAAAAAGGCTACTCCACATATTTTCCCCCTGACATATTTAATTTTGTGTGTGTAAAGGGTAACCATTTTGATGAGTGGGTGTCATATGGAAATTTCTCTAAATATTGCTAGATTAAGATACCAATTACTGAAAGCTCCTGTTTACTAGTGAAAATCCTGTTTTTAACTATGCCTGTCTGACAGACCTTATCTATAAAGGAAATATCCCATTGGGCATAATGTACAGTATATGCCACCCTCTTTTTTTTTTTTTTTCCTCTCTTTGGTCTTTGAATATACTCCTTCAGCATTTAAGTGGTCAGCCATATTCTGTTGCATTTGTTTGTACTCCATATGCTGCATGACCATCACACCGATCACATTGTACAATTATTTGGTTCCTGGTATGGGGCACAAATACAATTGCTTCCCTCTGTGATCTGCTTCCCTTATTTATTCCTTCTGTGTCTGTTTCTCTAATCCTTTATCTTGTCTTTCCTTAATGTTCCTACTGCCTTCCCTGTATTCCTGTGCTGCTATGGAGCAGGTAACAAAACACTTGCCCTCTTCAGGAACATCTACTATTTTCATGCTTTCTCAAACTTCAAGCAATCACAGTTTCCCTTGGAGTGATTAAGGTGACCATGCTTTTACTTTACTAACTTTTCCATGTGTATTAATATTTTGCTTACATATATCTGAGTTTGTATTGTTGTAGTGTTGTATTATATATTTCTTTATCATTTGGAAATGAAGAAGCTTAAATATTGTCATGAGACTAAAGGAAACCACATCTATTACAGTACTGTCCCCACCAATTGCACCTTGCCTTGCTGCTGTAATGCTGCTCCACTCATATGCAAAGCCCAACAGCTATGCTAAGTGCATGGCTGTTGGGCTGATTCTCTGAGTCATTACTTCCTAAAACATTTACAGGGAAAAATGATGCACCCAAAACCGTCAGAACATCTGACAGCTAGGAAATTAATATTTTCAGAAGGAGCTTAGTTCATATACTTTTCTCAAGACAGGTTTCCTTTAAATATAAGCTTCAACAGAAGAACGAAGAAGGGATAACAATTTATCATGTTGACTATAATGTTTGTGTTTGTTTTATCACTGTTTTAGAGAATGAGCACCAGAACAGGTGGTTCAGAGTCTACCCGTTCAACTGTCAGGCCTCTTCTTTTAAGAACATTCTCAGATGAGTCTAATGTATTGTAAGAGGTATCATGTCTTAATCCAGATTATATAATTAAGCCAATCAAAAACTCAAAAGAATCAAAGCTAGTTTGCTGTTGATTGATGCTTGATTTTGCGAGTGGGTTAAAGCTGCCAAATGTCGAAGCATTCTCTGCCCTAATAAGTTGTTATAGTATCAGTGTTTACATAATTGGTATTAGATACACACATTACACTGCATTATGCTACTTTTGCTGCTTGGTCTAGGAAAAGGACAAGATCTGTTAAACTGTATATTAACCCTAAACCTAATTTAAAGTTAGTTTCAATAGCCACTTGACCTCTGGAAGATTTCCCCCCCCCCTTCCTGACCAGGCCATTTTTTGTGATGCTGCTCTGCATTATTTTATCTGACAATTGTGCGATCATGCAACACTACATAATGAAAGAAATTTGTCATTTTTTTTCCCCACATGAAAAGCTTTTTTTTTTTTTGGTGGTATTTGACCACCGCTATGTTTTTTAAGTTTTGAATTATAAAACAAAAAAAGACAATTTAAAAAAAAAAAAAAGAAAACCTAATATTTTTCTGCTATAATGCATATCAAATAAAAATTTAAACAAATTTTTTCATACATTTAGGCCAAAATGTATTCTGCTATATATTTTTGGCAAAAAAAGAAAAAAAAATAAGCTTGATTAGTTTGCACAAAAATGATAGTGTCTACAACCTAGGGGATATATGCTGGAATGGTTTGAAATATATTTTCCATATCCAGGCAGAGGTATGAGCACAATTTTTTTTTTTTTTATTTTTGTGGAGTGCTCCCTCTCCAACCTTCTTAGGGGAACATATATGCATGACCTGGTAGGATTTTTGTTTTTATAATTTTCTGACATTTTTGCACACACTTTGTGGGATCCAGTGACAGTAATAGAAGTGATCAGTGCTAAAAATACGCACGGACACTGTACTAATAACACTGGCTGGGGTTAAATATTACGGTGATCAAAGGGTTAACTATGTGCTTGGTGTACACTAGGTGTCGCTTTTACTAGGGGAAGTGAAGGATTGTGTTCCCAGCTTTGGAGAGACACAAGATCCTTCACTCTCCCCCTGTCCGAACAGAGCTCTGCTTTGTTCACATAGGCAGAGCTCTGTTCTGTGTCCTGCCCAATGATTGGCAGGTGCTGGCAGACATTTGTTCACCTGCATTCGCAGATCGGTTTCTGCTGTGTGTTCACAGCAGAAGCGATTCACTGGTGGCGTGCGTATATAAAAATATCAAGTATTTTATTTGCTTGCATTGTGCCTTAGAACCTGTTAAACAATTTGACTATCCCTGGAGAGAGTCTTTTCCTTAGCACAGCCCCTGGTTCCTGCCAAATCATAGACACTCCCAGAGAAAGAGAGGTCTAATTATTGTCTGTGCTGGTCCAACTTTCACCTCTCCTTTTACCTTTCTTCATAACCTTTTATGGAGTTGCCAGAAGTTAAGCAAAAATTAAGTGTCAGTGGAATTACAGCTCTGCGTCTGCTGAGATCGTGTCCAAGATGGTGGTGCTCAGCAGCAGTCTCAGGGCTTTTGGAAGTCTATACAAGGGTCTCTTTAAGCAAATTAAAAAAACAGTCTAAAAGTTTCTTACCCAAATATCCTGCCAACAACAGTACTTCCTGTTGCAGGATAACAGCGCTAAGCCATTCCTTCACATTTAGCATCAGTAGTGTTTTCAGTCTGACTTACTCCTTCAGTTGACCATCAGGTTGCCTGATCTAGCTAATAGGCAGCCCCAATAGTCAACTGAAGGCTCATATACAGCAGGCTGATGATGTTGCTAATTGCAAGGCAGTGGCATAGCACTATCAGCTTGAAATAGGAGGTTCTACTACTAATAAGATCTCGAGGTAGGAAATTTTGCAATAGAGTCATGAAAAATTATTTGACAAACCTTATTAAAAAAATTAGAAATATGCATATGCTTTAGCTGTATATGAGAACTGTATGATTGTTGTTCAAATCAACAAAAGGATGACTCATTGGTTGTTAAGGACGCGACAGCCACCCGCTCCTTAACAAGTAGCTTTTTTGTTTTTGTGGATTGAAAAACTGTGCAGTATTTCTTTCTGCATAGTCTGATGCAGTAAGATAACTGCTTTGCGAAGGGAGCCCAGTATTTTAAAACAAAAACACTTTATTTTATTTTTTATCATGGTGACCAGAGCAGTGCACTACTCTGGGGAGGTGATAAGGATTTATTTTTTACACTATGATTGCCTATATTAGTGATGATCACTGTTTTAAGTAATCATTATTATGAATGGCATCTATTCATTCACAGCCATTCATTGAGTAGTGCTGTGATTGGCCACAGCTAATCACATTGTACAGATGGGCTGTAAATGGCCCTGTCTGGTCAAAGTGATCACATGGTACAATCACAGAGCTCACCCAAAAATTAAACAAAAAATGGCTATGAATTCATTGCGTACAAATTTCATGTGACTGCTGTGATTGGTGATAGTCACATGGTACTAGGATTGGCCTGGTATACCGGTCTGTCATCTGCTATGTCCCATGGACACAGAGCGTGACTGATCGCCCCAGAGCTTGGCCACGTGACTGGGAGGGCATTCTATGCCGTCCTACTGGATCTAAGCGCCTGATCAGCTGTAAACTGACAATGGTCTGGGTGGGAGGCAGTTAGGCTAACCTTCATCATTAACAGTGCCTCTCTATGATTAAGCCCTTCTGAGAGAAACAGGTTAAAGCAGTGCTTATTTAGGTGGAGCACTGCTGCTTGTCATGTGTCTCGCATAGATAGACATAGCAGTGATATTGCTGAACTACGATCCCCTTTTTTGTTTGACAAATGCTGCCACAGATAAAGAAAACCCAAAAGGAAAGTCTGTCTAAAGGGACATGTGTGGGAAGGGTTAGACCAAGGGTAGGTAAACTTTGGACCTCCAGCTGTAGCAGAACTATATGTCCCATGAGGCATTGCAGGACCACAGTTTGCCTACCCCTGGGTTAGACCTCTGTCAAGTTTTATTGGTGTCTCTGTACTTATTGGGAAGCTTCCCTCCTCTGTTTGTACTGGTAACCATTGTCACAAAAAAAAGGAGTTGCCCCCAGCGCAAGAGTTAAGGGGAAGTTTTCAATCAGGACCTATTTTCCTGGGGCAGCTGTCTGAGTGGTGAATGCCCCTGGGATTTTTTTTTTTTTTAGACTTTTCCTGGACCTTTAAAGAAGTGAAGGAAAACATCCCAAGTGTGGTACAAAGACAGCAAAAATAACTTGGTAGGCGTTTTAACCTTTCCTTATTCTTATGAAAAAAAATGGTCTGCATACATTTCATGAATGCCGCTGTTTACCATCTACACCCTAAAGTACCCATTGATGTTGGTATACAGGTGAAACTCGAAAAATTAGAATATTGTGCAAAAGTTAATTTATTTCAGTAATGAAACTAATATATGAGATAGACTCATTACATGCAAAGCAAGATAGTTCAAGCTGTGATTTGTCATAATTGTGATGATTATGGCTTACAGCTCATGAAAACCCCAAATTCACAATCTCAGAAAATTAGAATGTTACATGCAATCAAAAAAACAAGGATTGTACATAGAACAATATCGAACCTCTGAAAAGTATAAGCATGCATATGTACTCAGTACTTGGTTTGGGCCCCTTTCACAGCAATTACTGCCTCAATGCGGCGTGGCATGGAAGCTATCAGCATGTGGCACTGCTGAGGTGTTATGGAAGACCAGGATGCTTCAATAGCAGCCTTCAGCTCTTCTGCATTGTTCGGTCTCATCTTTCTCTTAGCAATGCCCCATAGATTCTCTATAGGGTTCAGGTCAGGCGAGTTTGCTGGCCAATCAAGCACAGTAATCCCACAGTCATTGAACCAGGTTTTGGTGCTTTTGGCAGTGTGAGCAAGTGCCAAGTCCTGCTGGAAAACAAAGTCAGCATCCCATAAAGATCGTCTGCGGAAGGAAGCATGAAGTGCTCCAAAATCTCCTTGTAGACGGCTGTGTTGACCCTGGACTTAATGAAGCACAGTGGACCAACACCAGCCAATGACATGGCTCCCCAAATCAATACAGACTGTGGAAACTTCACACTGGACTTCAAGCATCTTGCAGTGTGTGCCTCTCCATTCTTCCTCCATACTCTGGGTCCTTTGTTTCCAAACGAGATGCAAAAGTTGCTCTCATCAGAAAAGAGGACTTTGGACCACTGAGCAACAGACCAGGTCTGTTTTTCTTTAGCCCAGGTAAGACGCTTCTGACGTTGTTTGTTGTTCAGGAGCGGCTTAACAAGAGGAATAAGACATTTGAAGCCCTTGTCCAGGATCCATCTGTGTGTGGTGGCTCTTGATGCACTGACTCCAGCCTCAGTCCACTCCTTGTGAAAGTCCCCAACACTTTTGAATGGTGTTTTCCTG